CCTCACTTCCTTCTTCATTTCTATACCTTTAAAAACCCCCAAAACCTTCCAAATCAACCAAACCCAAAAACCCTACCCAACAATTCGAAAATTTTCATTCTTGGACATTCAAGGTCCGAAATCTTCCCACAAATTCTCAATAAATACCATATTCTTGCTCTTCTCACCATCCTCTTCAACACCATACCCATAAAAGCCATCCAAACCGCACCTTACCCAAAAGTCCGAAAATCCTTTAAAAAAAATTCCATTCCAATGGCTCCAAAAAAATCCAAAGCTTCTTCTTCAAGGGCTATCCCACCGGTAGCGGGCTATGAAAGCGTGGAATTTGCAACGGAGGCACATAAGAAACTCTTCAAGGAACAAGCACAAAGGGAGGTAAAACAATCCCGGTTCATGTGCATTACTACTCTAGCACTCCTTTGGATTGATATGATCATGCGTGATATATTTGCAAGGATTGGAATGACTAGGTTGCTAGAAATGCAATATGTGACTTATCCTCATTTGGTTTATGAATTCTTTAGTTCATATGTGTATACAAAAGATGATGTTGATCATGCAAATGACACCATCACATTTCGTTTACTCAATGAAAATCGTTCATTGACCAAAAGAGAATTTCCACAGCATTTTGGCATCCCTTTGTTTGATGAAGCTCGTGCTTATGATACTCTTGTGGGGTATGAGTTATGGAAAAGAATGACAGGACAAGGTGTGATGGACCTTTCTAAGCTGAGTGTGAAATGTGTTCAACATCCGGTCTTCTGAATTTTCTTAAAATTCTGTTCAAATTGTTTCCTCGAAAGACCGAATAATCATCACACAAGAATGTGGGATGTGTGTGTTCTGGCACAAGCTGTTTTACCTGGACCAGAACCAGTTGATGTTGCCTCTATCTTATGGACTCATTTCAAAAATATGGCAACGTCATCTGGACAAATTGTGATAGGGGGCCTAATCACACATCTAGCCACTTTATATGGTTTTGTAGACCCAGGCCCCATTACTCCGAAACAGCTCATTTGCACGTCATGGCTTGTACAAAAGACCAAAGATTTGGCTCTATCTCACATGACACCTACTGGGACACCAATCTACAACTGGCTTATCATCCCACGTCAAAACATATCTATCCATATCCCATCCCCTGACGTCCCCTAGATATCGTGGGCCATGAAATCGGTGATGGTCATCACTACTGTCTCCCCGGGGCAATCCCGACGCACTATGCACAAGATGAACCCGATCAAGAACATGCTGAAGAAAACCCGCCCTTCATACCTAATCCACCACAACAACAACCTAATGCTCCAGCCTACCAATACTCACCATTCGAGCAACAGATGCTCGATAACATGAACATGGTCAACAACAACTACATCGTGCTTCAGGAGCGAGTTGATCAGTATAGAACTGAGCAGAGGCATAGCTTTGAGAGGATGGAGGAACAACGGCAGGAAGACTGGCGGAGATATGAAGAGGACCAACGGCGAACCTTTGGTCCGATATACTCCTATGTAGCACACCAGGGCTCCTTTTCCTCTATGACCACTCCCCCTCCCGCACCATCATGGTATGACCCCTCTCAGTGGGGTTACTTTGGAGGATCGAGTTCCGGTGGTGGAGGCGATTATGGTGGTTATGGCGGGGATCACATGGATGAGGACAAACACCAAGGTGGAGGTCTAGGCGGGCACTAGGGACAGTGCCATATACTAAGTGTGGGGGTGCAGAGATTGTTCTGGTATGCTCACAAGCCTACTCTTTTTCATTTTATTTTCTAAAAAAAAGAGAAAAAAAGAAGACATAAAAAAGAGCTTGTTGAGTTGAAAACCACAAAGGGCAACTCAAGCAAAAATTAAAGCAATAAAATAAAGAGTGAGGTTGTGAGAATTAAAAGAAAAATGTGGGAAGCTGGGATGAAAACCTGAAAGGGCACCTAGGCAAAACGAGAGAATGAGAGAAATGTCTATTTTGCAGGATCCCGAAGGTGATAAGCTTAAAAGAGAAATGGAGATAAAGATGAGGTAGAAGACCCCATTTTACTTTAATTACCGTTGGGGATGCTTTATATTGTGGTAAAAACACTCTTGGATGTTTTGCGTTGATATTCTTGTCATTTTTAAAAGGACTTCTTGGATTGGATTTGATTTACTCGAGACGAGTAAAGGTTTAAGTGTGGGGGTGTTTGATGCACACTAATTAGTAGTGCATAATTATATGTTTTTATGTTTCATTGATGGTGATTGTTTGACGTTTTATTTAGTTTGTAAACATTTGTGTGATTTTAGTTGTAATTGTATTTTAGTTCTCACTTGTAAGTTGTAAAGTAGAATTAGGAATTAAGATGTTGAAAAGGAGGATGTTGAAGTGAAGGAAAAGGAATTTTGACTGTCCAGGAGCAAATACCCGACCGGGTAGGAAACTTCACCCGGTCAGGTCTGATTTGAAAACCGAACCGCTGAGGAAAGAGCTGGACCCGGTCGAGCCCCATACCTCACCCGGTCCGGTGAGAAGTGACCGGGGACAACCCGGTGTGCAAAGATCACCAGAACGTGGTGAATTATCTGATTTTGACCGGACCCGGTCGGGTAAGCACTTGACCCGGTCGGGTACCCGGCCAAAGGTGTTGAAAAACACCTATAAATAGCACTCTTTTTCTTCTCTAAAAATGATCCCTTCTTCTATACTCTTAAGCTCAGTTTAGAATAGCATTTCTTATATTTTTCTAGCTATGTTTAGTCTTCAAATGAGGAGCTAAACTTCCATTCTTGGTGTTTCTCTTGAAGCTTGTTGATTATTAAAGTTGTGAGTTATTTTCTTAACTTCTTTCCTTGAATATTAATTAATAGTTCTTTCCTTAATACCATTTCTATATTAATGTTGGGGAGTGTTGCTAAGATGACAATTAGTTAACATCTTGATATTAATTATAGTAGGATTCATCTTATTTAATAATATTCTTCCTTGAATATTAATTAATTCGTATTCATATTTCATATTAATATTTTGAACATTACTTAAAGGATCAACTAGTTTTGTTTCATATATTAATTATTACTAGAAACGATCAACGAACCGATGGTTAATCGTTGATGGTTTCACAAGTAAGTAACTTCGGTTTATTAATGCATGGTCGTGGTTAATAAACTTAAGAGGGATTAATTTTGTTGGTTAAACCGAAACCGTTGTGTTGAGGTTATCAATCTCAATTGATTTCATCAAGGAGTTAGAAAGATTAAATGCTACTATTAAATCGGTATAAGGCGTTGTTCTATATTTGATTAATAGTAAGAGTTATTAATGAACGGTTGTTGTTAATAACTACCCTCGATGAAGTGGATATACTCCCCGATTGAGTATTCGAGAGGGAATAAGTTATAGATATAACAATGATCGACTAAAATATATCAATAAGTGGAAAGTAGCAATGCCAAGTCCTTTTTATCTTTGAATTAAATCTCATATAGGTCGTTCATCTTAGTTTTTAATTAAATTAAATCACTCAATCCAAATCCCCCCTTTTATTTACTAAGTTTTATAAAAAGAGAATTATTCCTTTCCCTGTGGATACGAACTCTACCACGCTATACTACGTATAAGTGTTAATATTGAAAATTATTTTGACGCACCGTGACAAAGTGCTCGTCATGTACCCCTGTGGTAACAGAGCGTCCATGATTTGCCGGATAAATGACTAGGGAATCCTCACATCATGATTGAGATTGACCCTGCCATCTACCGCCTTTCAAAGTTCATCGAGATGCCTCCTGAGATCGTCATCATCCCAGACAGCCCAAACACGGGGTTGGGGAGTGTGATCTCTATGTGCCCGCCAATGTCTAAGGACCTCATACCTGAGATCTCCCCCACGCGCACTACGACGGTGGGAGGAAAGGCTGACGATGAGCCTCTCTCCACCCTCGAGGAGAGTCTGTCATGCACGAAAACCCTTCGCTCCCCAATACGGTCCATCACCAACGCCCTTGGGTGTGCCTGGAGTGGTGGGACCTATGAGACCTTGCTGAAGGGGAATTCCTCTGGCGGTGCGCAGATACCGCCTCCTGGCGAGGTAGAGATATTGCACGATGGGGAGAGGGTGGCCTGTCATTCGCATTTGAAACGATTCTTTGGAAGGCCGTTGTCAGTGTCCTTGGTTACTACCGGCAAGATCCTTCGTCGCGAACAAGATCCTTCATCCTTGATCACAACTTGGTTCATTCGAGCATTGCCTTGGTTACTGTCGACATGATTTGTGACTGTGTGATCCGACCATTATCTTTATCGTAAATCGGCTCTCAACGAGAGCACCAAATGATGAAGTTTAATTCCAACTACGAAAGCTAATCTACGAAAAGTGGGGAGAATTAGGCAGTGTAAGACAATATTATTATTCCAAAGGTGGATCCCTTTTAAGGTATGTACATGAAGTATTTATAGACCTTAGGTTAAAGTAGTCTAGGAGGAAAGTGATACATTTAATACATTCAATTATGATAGGAGTCTTGTAACGTCTCGATTATTGTGCAATAATGATTCCCCTAGGTCAATGTCTCTTGTGTTAGTTTCCTGCCACTGTCAGATAGCTATGCTCGATTGATAGCCTGTCATGTAAGTCTTAGGATAAATCCAGCATCGCTGGAATCCTGCCCAGACTCGAGGTCTGCTTCCAGACAGTCTTGGTTATGGGTTCCTTTCGCGGGTTGAGTTCCTAATCAGGCCCAGTAGCTATAATTAATTAATAATCCTGATTAATGAGCTGCTCCCGAGTAATGAGCTTCATTTTAATTTAATGGCCCAAACTCAATTAGATCAGCTCATACAATACCAGACTTCCATAGTTATAATATACAAAGAGATCAGACATTCATTAGACTGAACCAATCCAGACCAATCCAGACCAATTCAGACCACATCAAAGAAGACTTAAACAGACCATATCATACTAGACTAGCAAATTTCAGCCCAAGTAAACACATCCTAATAATAATAATAGGGTAGTTATCTCTATAAATAATACCTACATTTTGCTCATGATACGTACGTAGCATAGACTGCATAACAAAAAAGAAGAGAACAACGTAAGGATAGATCGGATACAATGCCACCATTGCTCGTCTTCTTCTTTTTCATACTCTCCCTTTCGTGTCCATTGACTTTGTCTTACCCCCGTGGATCCGGTCAACTGCGAGCTCTTGACCACCTCTTCAAGGCCAAACGGATCAGCAACTTCGCCGCCGTCGTCGACCGCACCCCTTTCGCTGACGATGATAGTGATGCCCATCCTGAACTTGACGGTGACGGCAGACCAATAAACATTCCCGCTCAGGATGGGCTAAAGGAGAAAGATAGGATCGAACGGCTTCCAGGGCAACCGCCGGTCCGGTTCAACCAGTACGGCGGCTATGTTACGGTCGATAAAGCTGCCGGCCGGGCCTTTTACTATTACTTCGTTGAGGCGTACAAGCAGGATGAATCGTCCTTGCGGCCTCTCCTTCTTTGGCTAAACGGAGGTAATTAATTAAGTTTGGGAAACTGCCATTTTGTCCAATCTTTTGTACATACCTTACTTTGGGAAAAATTCCCAAATAGGATTACGCAAAGTTTGAAAATTATAAAATAAAATTTTTATGTTTTTATTTTCAGAATATGAGTAATTAATTAGTACTATTTTCGAAATAAAAACATGATAGTCACGTACAAACTTGTTAATCCTATGTAGAGTAATTTTTCCCTTACATTTTGTCAATTAATCTCTCTCACATTCTTTTTTAGTTGCGACACTTATATTTTTCACGCTTTTGATACACAACTTTGACCGTTACAATGTTCAATTCTGAATTCTCTATTACTCGGTAATAAAGATTGGCTTAAAACCGAATTATGAAATTTTGTTATGAAACAAATGTTAATAATAATTGTGATACAAACAAAATAAATGGAGCTTATAACAAAAAGAAACTTGTACAAGAGATTAAGTTGTTCACCAAATGTCAACTTACACATACACTAAATTTTCTTTCATTGATAATTGGATATTCAATTCAACTGTCTTGTTTCCTTAATTTATGCGTGCTGGTTAATTAGTTGAATTTTGTATTCAAACAGCCAAAAAGTTTCCAAGAACATTGTCTTGGGTCAAAGTTTAAGAAAAAGGGTATTTTTTATTTTTAGAGTTCACGGAGTAAAAAGTACGGAGCATATTTTCCATTGTTACAAAAATATTCTATCCTTTCCTTTCAACTTTATCTATCTTTGAACTTTTGATCAATCAAATTAAACTTTTATAAAAAAATTACACATGAAATAATTTATAAAATTAAAATCATATGAAAATGGGTTTTAATGGAAAAACTTGCATAAAAGTATAAAATTATGCTCATAAAAATCCTTTTTCGTTTCATGGCTGCTATAATTACATAGAGAAACTTTTAAACAAAAGAAAGCATCACATTTAGATATTGTTTGTTTGATAAAGCTGAAAGTGACTAATTTTGTTAGATTTAGTGACATTCTTGTTGAAGCTGTTGAATGGACCAAATATGTTGAATTTGAGAAAAATTTAAAAAGTAATTTTATTAATAACATACCCGATTGAAGTTTTAGCTGAAATTTGATATGAGTAAACTAGACTTAATGAAGAATATGATCAAAAAATTGCATAAAAAATTTCCACCGGAAACCGTCCCAAATGACGACGGTCACGCATAACCTCCTATATAAGAACTTAATTGACCTTTTTTGGTTAGTAGTGGACTTATTTGACATTTTTCTCTTTTCTACCCCTGCGATACCAATGGATGGAAACGATCAAGGCCTTAAGTTGGAGGGTGAAATTATTGGTGCTGGATTAATCATTTCTAAAATTCATCTATCGCACGTTTACTGGAAGACGATTTTTGTCATATGTATGCATACGGTCGCTTTTTCGGACGACAAAGACAATTTGTATGGGTATGAATAAAGACTAGGTGATAAATTAAATGGGTGTAGATATGATCCACTGGCTGTGACATTATTTGCCGCTATGGAAATGGGAGGTACCATTTGGATGGAAAGAAAATTGAAAGACAGAGCTTTTGGAATAGTCATAAATTTAATCTTGGGGTTTTTTACTAATGGGGACTAAAAGCCCGTTTGTTAACACTGAATTAGCTGATTCTGCTAAAATTTATGAAGTTCTGCGGAAGTGGCGGATTCTGCTGATTTATGAAAAAAAATTATACGAGTGTTTAAAATATATTTTATTAATAAAATAAAGAAAAAATTATATGAAATTAAAAGTTGCGTGTTTGATTTAAAAGTTGGCAGATAAATTTGATAAGTCGAAAAATAGAATCACCAAACGGGCTCTAAAATATGTCGAAAAATAGAGTCACCAAATGAGTTTTTTTCAATGACAATATTTGGAACTGACTAGGTAACACTTAAATTAAAATTTATGCAAGAAATGATATGTGAGAATCATTAGGAGCGTGAAAATCATGCAGAGTGTTTGAAAAGTTCAATCTCATACTCTCTCCGTTTTCAAAAGAAAGTCACGGTTTGACTTCACGATTATTAAAGAAATAAATTGACTTTACTGTAGAAAACATTGTTTAGACACTGTTTGGCACTGTTTGAACACTGTTTGACACTGTTTCGCATTGTTTGGATGTAGAATTCTTTGCCAAATAAGGAAATAAGGGAAGTGTGAATTTGTTTTTGAAACGTCTCAAAAAGGAAAGTGTGAGTTTCTTTTAGAAATGGAGGAAGTACATGATTATTTTTCAGTCGCACACTTATTAATAAAGTTGTGGTATAGAAATAGAATTGACACAATACCTATAGTATTAAAAAAAATAACATTGTCATATCTTGTAAATATAACATATTTTAATCGTGGAAATCGTACCATTTCAATTCACTGCTTTAATCTGATTACCGAGTTTCTCCACATTATAATATGCATATAATATTGTTGGAATTTTATCAAATCTGAGGAGGCCTGAAAGATAGACAAATTATCAATTCAGAATCTGAAAAATGAAATATATCAGTATATGACTTGAAAGATGAAAAACTATCAATCTAGGACCTAACATTTCATAGGTTTTGATTTATTTAATTTTTTATCAATTCCATTGCTAATATTTGGTGAAATTTTCTTCACAAAAGTTTATTAGTTTAATAAAACTAAATATTATTTAAATTTTTTAAAATAAAAATAATAATAAAATTTATGAAAACTTAGGTCCTAAATTAATAGTTTTCAATCATTCGGGTCCTAGATTGATAGTTTTCCATCATTCGAGTCATATACCGATACATTTCATCTTTCAGGTCCCAGATTGATGGTTTGTCTATCTTTCAGGTCCCGGATTGATAAAATTCCAATATTGTAAATATTTTTTTTGGGAAAAGTACGGAAAAGATACTTGTGGTTGGACCTGTTTTCAGATAGGGTCATGTGTTTCATTCTTTATCAAATTAGTTCATGTGTTTGAATTCCGTTATCACAAGAGGATCATGTCGTTAAAAACGTCTGAAAAAGACCGTTAAAAGTAACTTCGATTTTCAAAAGTGCCCCCGAAAAATTAAAAGAAAAATGCTAAAAGGTGGGTCTCAAGATGACCTCCAAACCACCTTCGCCTTTGGATTTTTCAGATTTGTTTGAATTATTTTTTAAAAATGATTTCTATAATATCACTTTTCCGATGGACTTTCCGGTGACAAGAGTGGCTGAAAACAAAAAAAGAAAGATGGCCTAGCGGCCGTCTTATTGAGGCGCACCTTTTGGTATTTTTCTTTTAATTTTTCGGGCACTTTTGAAAATCGGAGTTATTTTTAACGGTCTTTTTCAGACGTTTTTAACGGTGTGACCCTTTTGTGATAACGGAATTCAAACACATGAATCACTTTGATAAAGAATGAAACACATGATCCTACTTGAAAACGGGCTCAACCACAACTACTTTTCCGTTCTTTTCCCTATTTTTGTTGCACATCCTAGTATAAGAGAGGATGGATATATGTTTACTCCCCAAAAAATATGCCTTTTCATCTCTGAAAATTCAGTGTACGTTTTCCCATACGTATGGGAAAAATTCAAACATAAGAAAATCCAATGTTTGATAGATAATTCATTCTCTTAATTCAAACATAAAAAATTGAAAACGGTAAAGGTCCACTCGCAAGTCGCATGTGATGATGTGAATGACACTAATTTATCTTTCGCTAATGATGAATAAAACCATGCCTTAAATTTAGTTTATGATGTCATTCTACTATTTGTAATAATGATCAAATGAACAATCAAAACCGCAACAAAAGAATTTCCCTTCAATATATTCAATGTAACACTCATTATTCCAAATCCACTATAAACCGAACCTGACCTGCAAAAGTCAGTGCGTTGGTCCTTCATCTCCCTCTTCTCTTGATCAACATGAATGCATTTTGTGGGGTTTAGAATTGATTCTGATTCTTTCTTTTTTAAATGTAGAAATAAAATCATACTTCATATGAAGTATTTAGTTTTTCAAAAGCTAGTCTCCGTCAATTTCTAAAAACTTATTTTAGAAGCAAATTTGAAACACCAAAACATACTTACTCCCTCCGTTCCGTTGGAATGTTCCCGGTTTGACCTACACATATTAAGGAAATAAACTTACCAGGGGGTAAATTTTACTGTTTTGACAATGTTTCGACACTGTTTGGCACTGTTTCGACACTGTTTGATACTGTTTTGCACTGTTTGACCCTGTTTTGATGTAGGATAACTTTCCATTTAGGGAAATGAGAACTTTCTAATGGGACGTCCAAAAAAGGAAAGCGGGAACATTTCAACGGGACGGAGGGAGTATATAGTTTGATCAATACACTACCTTATGCTCCCGAAATAGATCCAAAGACGCTATATATCGTGATAATTAATTGAATTAATAATTTGATACTACGTACGTATATTATATTGCCCCCAAACTCTTCCCGTGCTTTTCTTAAGAAACTTATATTATTATTTTGATTATCAGGACCTGGCTGTTCTTCTCTCGCGTATGGAGCAATGCAAGAGTTGGGCCCATTCAGAGTCCTCAGCGATGGAAAAACACTTCGTGAAAATAAATTTGCATGGAATCAGGGTTAGCCATATCTATATACTATCGTATATTCATTTAACAATTACTCCGTATATATTTATGCATGAAGCGTTTTTTTGCTTTTGTATTAAAAAGTTGGTTCGACTGTATTTCTATTTAATCAAAAGGAAATAAGTATAATGCGGGACGTTGTGGTGTGGTACTGTGTGACTGTGGTATAAAGTGTGATTGAGGTAAAAAGATGAAGAGACTATGGTTTACATTAACGGATCGTGGATTTTAATTTGTCTAACAATTTGACTAGCAGATTGAGTTAGCGGGTTACAAAAAAATATTTTGTATTTGATAATTTAATTAGCTTCTGGCTATAGTGGTTATTAGACAATATCCTATTTCAAAATGCTAAACATGAGATGATGTTATTTACAACGTTTTTATTTCAACGGTTCTATCAAAAAACGTTCAGCCCAAACCACTATATATTTATCAAACAATGTGTTGAGATCCCTCCTTAATTGGAGAGGTTCTAGAAAATTCTAGAGCTTTCTAGAGAAGTATAGAATTTTCTAGAACGTTGCGGAGAATCTTAGAGAAGTCTATAACTCTCTAGAAGGTTACATAACAGTGTGGAATCGTCTAGAATATTCTAGAGATGTGTGGAACTTTCCGGAATCTTATGGAAGAGTATGGAAGCATATGGAAGGGAATGGAGAGGTGTAGAGATTCCTTGGAGTTCTCTAGAATATGTAAGCATATGTAGAGCATTCTAGAGAACTACTCTCCACCATTCATTATGGAGGTGGAGTAGTATAAATAGGAGTAGAGGTCTTCATTCATAATCATCCTAGGAAGTAAAAAATCACTTCCTAGAGTGAGAAAGTTAGAGAGTTAGAGAGCCTCTTTGAGAGAGAAGAGAGTTAGCTTGGGAAGTTCATATCCTCAACGTTGAGTGAACCACCATTGAGTGAGACAATTTTGTAACATCCTTGTAAATCCTACTATTCTTTTGTATAGTGGAAGAATCTCCATATTAGAGAATTTAAATCGTGTGCTCCGATTACCACCTTAATTCCTAAGTGTCTATCTTAATTAACTTCACGAAGCGGGAAAAGTCCGAAGTTTTTCCCAACACATGCAACATGGATCAACGTTTTAAGTGATTGAAGACATTAAACATGATCAAACCGGTGTTTTTGCTGAAATGCCATTTTTTCAAATATACTCTTTGAGTCCACTGGTTTACATTTTCCGGCCGCAACCCAATTAACTAGGTAAATAATTCCAAAAATATAATCAATATAAAAGTAGTAGTCCAGTGGACAAAAATGTGACCTATTAATTTTTAATTGTATTCAAATTTTACTTCGTAGTTACTATAAAACTTACTCATCATGGTAATTTATAGTTACACTTTTATCACTTGCATATTTGGTCTTGTAACTAATAAATCTTTGCAATTTAAGGATTTTTTCACCAAAAAGTATACTTTCCGGCAGAAAAATCCGACGTCGGCGACATCTTTTCCGGTATACTATCGCCATAAAGTGTACTTTTCCTGTGGAAAGTCCTTAAATTACAAATATTAATTAGTTACATGACCAAATTTGCAAGTGACTAAAGTTGCGGGATTAATAATGAAAATGATCGAAAGTTACGAGACAAAAATTACAAATTTTCCCGACCTTGCATAGCATCAGTGTACGTGTTATTTGCTGCATTCAATGATATGAGGGAACCAAAATAAATCAATTATTACTACCCTATCTGGTATGAACTATATGATATGATATTTAATTGCTGAACATTTGATATCTGGCATGTAATGCTAACCTAGCTATTCATTTATTGATTAATGTTGAGTAAATACGTACATTAAAAAATGTCCTAAATTGAATTTACAGCTGCAAATGTGTTATTCTTGGAGTCTCCTGCTGGGGTGGGATTTTCTTACTCCAACACAACATCCGATTTTAAGAAAGGAGGAGACAAAAATACGGCAAAGGATAATTACGTATTCTTGTTGAATTGGCTAGAAAGGTTCCCGGAGTACAAAGACAGAGATTTCTACATCTCCGGCGAAAGCTACGCTGGGCACTATGTGCCACAATTGGCACACACTATTCTCAATCACAACATTCAAGCTAACAAGACCATTGTTAACCTCAAAGGAATCATGGTATGTGTGTACTTTTGGCACAATTGGCACACACGGAAATTGCACTAAATACAAGTAAAAATACTTTGAAATTTCAAAATAAGTTATATTTTTGTTCCCAAAATAAGAGTCATTAGTGCTATGATTGAAAATAATGTCATTAATGGTAGTATATACTGCTATGTTAATGTCTAGTACTGTAACTATTTTGGCAATAATGATTCCAGAATCTCAAAAAATACTGTCATATTAATCATATTTCGTGAAGAAAAACATAACAATCTTGGGATCAAAAAAATTAATGCTTCCTGCATATACTCCCTCCGGTTCTCAAAGAGCTTCACAGTTTGACTTCACACAGATTAAGAAAATAAATTTGACTTTACTGTGGAGTGCACTGTTTGACACTATTTGGACACTGTTTGACACTGTTTGACACTATTTTGCACTGTTTTGGTGTAGATAATTTGCCAAATAAGAAAATAAAAAGAAGTGTGAAGTTAATTTCGAGACTTCCCGAAAAGGAAAGTGAGAAATTGTTTGAGAACCAGAGGGAGGGAGTATATGATAAGTCTATTTGAAATGCTAACCTATACTTGAAAGAACGGTTGGGACTTGGTTCAACTTGCCTAACCTCATCCATTGGTCCGTGCCTATTGAGTTGGAAAGGGGTAAACCCACTACTATCTAACACATGACATAATAATAAGGAGATAGACATAACTTTACTGCTCCCTCCGTCCCTATATAAAAGTATCCATTCATTTTACACACATCTTAAGAAAGTGGGTTTGGTTGGTACTGTTTGGCACTGTTGGACACTGTTTGGCACTGTTTTGCACTGTTTTGTTTGCCAAAAAAGGAAAGAGAAATTTTATTTAGGGACGGCCCGAAAAGGAAACAGATGCTTTTATTTAGGGACGGAGGGAGTACTACGTAATCTTTAGTCTTTACTACTCCCTCCGGTTCTTATTTAAGTTCCCAGTTTGACTTCACACATATTAAGAAAATGAATTTGACTTTACTCTGGAGTGCATTGTTTGACACTGTTTGACACTGTTTGGACACTGTTTGGCACTGTTTTGCACTGTTTTGTTTCCTAAAATGGAAGTGTGAACTTAAATAAGGAACAACCCAAAAAGGAAAGTGGAAACTTTAATAAGAACCGGAGGGAGTATTTGAGTTTAATTTGCATACATACAATATAATGTATGTGTGAAATAACAAAATAAATATTACGGAGTACTAATAATAATGTGTGTGTGAAATAACAAAATAAATAATATTCTCTTCGTCCTGTTAAGATGTCCGTTCAGTAAGATTGTCTCATATCAAATTTGATAACATTTGTGTGATTCTAAATTATTCCTATTTTATTTCCATTTTACCAATTCAAAATCAATCATGCTCGTATAAACTTATTTTTTATAACTGTATAATTTTCTCTTATACTCTGCATTAATATTAGGGAAACGGAAGTAATATTAACAATAAAAGTAAGCTACGTCTTATAATATGGTGGACGAACCTTAAAATTACTATGATAATAATGATATGCGTACTTGTACGTAAGAAGCGCATGATAAAAGTATTACAGTATTGACTAGCTTATTATGTCAAACTGCTTCTATATATATGAATGACTGAGACACGAGATGTCATGAGAATAATTATTCTAAATTTGTAAATTTGAGATGAGTCTATTTTCTAAATCCTTATCTAGAATGGGGTGTTTGGCAATCCGTTGTTGGCTGTTAACCGTTGGCCAATTGTTTTAACCGATTGATGACAACGGATTCTGTTGACTGTTTTGATCAACTGGTATTATTAGCAGTTTGTAAAATGGTATTTGACTAAATGACTGTTTACAATCAGGTGATAACTTGTTAAATGACCTTAATAGACATCAATTAATTTTTATTAATGTAATTTGTAAATCTCTATTTCTTTAGTTAATAATCCATTTCTTTTTTATGAGATGATCATTGACTGAATAACACGAGAGAGAGGGCCACCCCAGTAGAAACTCCCTTCTATCCATCTCAGCACATTTCCAGCCCAAGTCTATCCCCACATCTTTCTTCAACCAGAGAACACACCATCAAAATTAGGGACTCCTTCTCAAACAATTACATTAATATACAAAGATCCAAGAAGCAGAGAGTACAAAAAGAAATTCTGAAAGAAGAAGTATACAACAACAACAACATCCAAGCCTTAGTCCCAAAAGATATTGAGGTCAGCTAACATGAATCGATACATGATATCACAACCAAAAGGAAAAAAAAGAATAAAGATAAAAAAGATAAGCTATTATAAAAAGATAATATAAAAAGAGATGAATATACATAAAAATGATAAAATAAAAAGGTTACGAATAATGCTTATATATATAAGGATAAAAAACAAGGAAAAAGAGATGAGGGAAAAATATTATACGAGATCACTCCTCCACTTAGTTCTCTCCAAAGTCATGCCCTCATCCAACCTCAGAAGAAGCATGTCACTTCGAACTCCCCTAACCCACGTCTGTTTGGGTCTTCCTCTCCCTCTCTTCCCTGCTTCTTCTCCACACATCTCAACTCGTCTGACAGGTGCATCACTCGGTCTTCTACGCACATGACCAAACCACCGTAGGCGCGACTCCCGCATCTTGTCTTCAATAGGAGCTACTCCCACCCTTTGTCTGATTCTCATTCCTCACGCGGTCCTTCCTAGTATGCCCACACATCAAACGCAGCATGCGCATCTCTGTCACACTCATCTTTTGAATGTGACATTGTTTCACCGCCCAACACTCTACGCCATACAGTAATGCAGGCCTAATTGATGTCCTGTAAAATTTACCCTTCAGTCTAGTCGGCATACCTCGGTCGCATAGAAATTCTGACGCACTCTTCCCCTTCATCCACCATGTTCTGATTCTATGGGATACATCTCCATCTAACTCACCGTCCTTCTGAATTATGGAGCCAAAGTAACAGAACATATCGCTCACTGGTATCTCCTTACCATCCAGAGTAATTCCGCTATTACCACTGCTTCTACCTCCACCAAACTTGCACTCCATGTACTCTGTCTTGCCCTGACTTAGTTTGAAACCCTTATTCTCCACAGTTTGTCGCCATACTTCCAACTTTGTTTTAAGACCTGATTGTGTCTCATCAATCAATACAATATCGTCGGCAAACATCATGCACCACGGTATATCGTCTTGAATTGACTTCGTAAGTTCATCCATGACTATGGAAAATAAGAAAGAGCTCAAGGCCGATCCTTGGTGCACTCCGATAGTAATAGCAAACTCTTCAGTCCTCCTTACACTAGTACGGACACTTGTAGTACAATCCTCATACATATCCATGATGATGCTGATATACTTGCGTGATATGCCTTTCCTAGTTAAGGCCCACCAAAGAACTTCTCGAGGTGCCCTATCATATGCCTTTTCTAAGTCAATGAACACCAAATGCAGATCCTTATGAGCGTCTCTATACTTCTCCATAAGTTGCCGAAGAAGGTGAATGGCCTGAGTTGTTGAGCGACCAGGCATAAAACCGAATTGATTCTCTGAAATCTTCACAGTCCTTCGAAGTCTTTTCTCAATCACTCGCTCCCAAAGTTTCATGGTGTGACTCATAAGCTTAATCCCTCGATAGTTGGCACATTCTTGTACATCACCTTTATTCTGAAATAAGGGGATAAGAAAACTTATCCTCCAACTCGTTGGCATCTTGTTGTTTCTCCAAATCATGTTGAAGAAACTTGTTAACCACTTGATGCCTCTCTCTCCCAAACTTCTCCAAGCCTCGATCGGTATGCCATCTGGCCCCATTGCTCTTTTCCGTCCCATCTTCCTCAGAGCTTCTTTAACTTCCGTTGTTTGGATCCTTCTCACAAAATCACGATTTACCATACAATCTGGTATGGACAAATCATCGATATCTTGTGTTTTGTTCCCGTTGAATAGTGTATCAAAGTATGACCTCCACCTCTCTTTTATCTCTCCGTCGTCCATTAATATCCTCTGATTGACATCCTTCACACACTTAACTTTTGCAATATCTTATGTCCTGCGATCACGAAGACGAGCAAGTCTATAAATATCTAGTTCTCCTTCCTTAGAGTCCAACTTTTCATACAACTCCTTGTTCACTTTCCCTCGTGCTTCCCTTGGTTACGCCCTTCTTTGTTTGTCTTTTAGCCTCTTTGTATGCTTCTATGTTCTCATCACTCCAACTTGTCCCCAACTTTTTGTAGCAATCTCTTTTGTTCCTTATGGCTTGTTTCACCTCATCATTCCACCAAGACGTGTCTTTTTTAGGTGGCATACATCCTTTAGATTCTCCAAGTATCTCCTTTGCCACTTTGTTAATGGTCAACTCCATTGATAACTGTAAACTGAGTAATAAGAATTAAAGATGCAATGAAATCATACTTCATTATCATTAGGTATGGCCAGTATAAATACATACAAGCTAGGGAATACAAAAAGGAAACTAAATCTGTCAGATTTACCTAGAATATTTAGTCTATCGCAGAGAATATATTAGCTACCATATATATACATAGAATATATTGACTATTAAATATGTATATTCTAACACTCCCCCTCAAGCTGGAGCATAGATATTAATCATGCCCAGCTTGGTACAGATGAAATTGATACGTGTCCCCGGTAGAGCCTTGGTGAACACATCTGCCAGTTGGTTTCCTGTTTTGATGTGTGAAGTGCAAATTGTACCATCTTCTACCTTTTCTCGAGTAAAGTGACAATCAACTTCGATGTGTTTTGTTCTTTCATGAAAAACATGATTATTTGCTATGTGGATAGCCGCTTGATTATCACACCATAATCTCATGGGTTCTGTTTGAGTAAATCCAAGTTCACCAAGCAAATGCTGAAGCCAAACCAGCTCACATGTAGTCTGTGCCATAGCTCGATATTCAGATTCTGCACTTGATCTGGAAACAACATTTTGCTTCTTACTTTTCCAAGATACAAGGTTTCCTCCAACAAA